TCTAGACCGTTCCTCTGTGGTGCAGCATCTGCGCTGACGGAGAACGTTTCAGGCTAGGAGCACAACACGCTGATTTTTAATCGATAATACCTACACCCAAACAAATGGTTTATAATAGAAAAAGAATACACATTCCCTGACACCACTCCCCGGACAGCCCAATATGTACAAATAATTGAAAGAGATTTGGCACACCCATTACCCCAAATTCCGACGCAGCCGGACTAAACAGGCTTGTAATGCATGATTGGGAAAAATAATGCACAACCGCAACATAGACAAGCTTAATGAAAAAATAGAGAAGCTGATCAATTACCCGAGACGTGTTTATTTCAGGACGTTACCGCCCAAACAAAAAAGGTGACTTTAACAAGTCGTGCCTGGCAAAAGAGAAAACGCTGTTTTTCTCCTGTCAAGCTGTAACATTCTAGGTTTGAGGAAGAGAGGAAATACTTCATCGGTAAAGAGGTGGGAAGGCCTAGGGATAACAGTTGTGTGGTGTGTGGTGTGTGGTGTGTGTGTGTGTGTGTGGTGGTGTGTGTGTGTATGGTGTGTTGGTGGTGGTGCGCGGGTGTGGTGTGTGTGTGTGTGTGTGTGTGTTGTGTGTGTTGGTGGTGTGTGGCGTCTGTGTGTGTGTATGTGTGTGGCCTAGCATTACTATACTTGTGGGGACCTAAATCTGTTTACACAGTCACGTGTGGGGACTTGCTTCCCTTATGGGGACAAATTGGAGGTCCCCATGAGGGGAATCATTAATTTTAGGGTGAAGACTTGGTTAGGTTTAGGGTTAGGGTTAGGGTTAGGGTTAGGCATGTGTTGGTTATGGTTAAGGTTAGGATAAGTCTCCAGGAAATGCATGTAAGTCAATGTAATGTTCCCTGAAGTGATGTATACATGGTATGTGTGTGTGTGTGTGTGTGTGTGTGTGTGTGTGTGTGTGTGTGGTGTGTGTGTGTGTGTGTGTGTGTGTGTGTGTGTGTGTGTGTGTGTGTGTGTGTGCCAGTGTGAGCCAGTGTGACCTTTCACTTACCTATTCCTTCTCCGTCGTCCCAGAAGAACGATCCTTGAGCAGTCCCGCTGTCGCTCAGGGCAACTATCAGTCCTAAAGGATTCCTCCGGCTGAAGCAGAATGGGTAGAGAGGGGTTGTAGCAAATTACATAAGTGCAACATCTATGTATGCTCCCTGCTGCTGAGGACACACACATTAACATTCCTGCTGGCGGGATCCACCTGATCTCACCTCTGCCGGGGCATTCATCACCCTCTGACTGTCTCACTGCATCGTTCTTTAACACACACTAACGATCACAGATGGCATTTCATTTGACTGGTGGAGAAACTACAAGAAGCAACTGCAATGCGTTCACCTATGAAACTCTACGGGGGCCGACAAGTGCAAAGACGCTTCAACGGCCCCTAAACACGCTGCCCTTTCATCAACAATGCAAATAAAAACACATAAGACTGCCATAAGACTATTAACTGAACACCTGAACTGTTGAAACAACATCCATAACATTCATCTGGCTGCAACTTACAAAGTATTTATCGAATATATCATATTCCAATCACTTGTATATAGACTCTTATTGAACTATTTCACTATTTATCTTGCAATTTTTTCTGTTTTTCAGTTTTTATTGTGTTGCACTGTTGGAGGAGCCTGTGACCTGAGATTTCCATCGTCATAACTACACTGTAGCTATGTACGTATGACTAATAAAAGCCTTGAACCTTGAACAAAGGACACGCTGAAAGAAGCTCAAAACACAACAGAAACAGGGACACTACAAAGAGATGCATTTGTATGTGTTTTGGCACATTTGTGTTTTTTTAATTGCATTAAATGACAACGTTTCTCCTAATGTAGGTTTGTTGGGCCGTTGTATCTTGTTTTACACCTTCCCGTGGCTCCAAATCTCTCCGCAAACTAAACAGACAGGAAGTTGACCCTTAGCTGTGTGCTGTCATGATATATCAGCCGTGATGTGTGCACACTCACCTGTAAAGGGTGGTATTCTCTGGTTTCTGCCAAGGCAAGATGTATCCCCCTCTGATATGAAGGTTGATATGATCCAAGGGGGTAGGCATGCTAACCATTTTTCCACGCACTCCAACATCTTTGGCCTGAAAATACATTAAGTAATTCATTTTGAGACATTGTATTCCTTTGTGGAAAATGTGTGTGCAAATAAAACACGAAGCAAGCAATAAAAAAAAAAGGTGGCATATACATTTGAAGCATTTCGGTAATTATTACACCCCTAAAGAATAATTTTGCAGTATATTCAACTTTTCTCTAACAGCTTGCACCTCTCTTTATGCTGAATGGACACGTTTAATGGAGGTAACCACTCCCCTGCACCATCCTGTGCCCCCGTTTAAATCGTTGTTTTCTGAAGTTTAGTTGGGCTTTATGATGCTGGCTAACAGATGGGGAGTCCCCTAGCTAGAAACAGACGAGTGGATGTTTGTTTTTGTCATCAAGGCGCCTTCTGCCGATATTGAGCTGCAATCTGCAATGATGTGGACCAACATGTCTCTAGTTAATATTGTCTTTTGGGTTTCTGTTGAAGTTGTGGTTTGAGTCTCTTTTTCTGTCTTTTATTTTTAGACATAAAGGACCTCATAGATGCAGGATATGATGCTCAGATCTTCATATGCTATTCATTAGTATTCACACTTAGAAGCCAGTCAGGTGAAACCAACTCAAAACTAAAGACAACTAAATGATTTTATAAAAGCATGGGTAATGTAGATACAACATGTAATGTGCAAAAATTGTTAATCGCTAAGACAACTGCTTGTTCTTATTTGTTTATGTTGGTATGAAAAACTGTTAATCTGTGATATAGTAGATATACTTCATTAGTTTGTTGTCTTTATTTTGAGTGTGTTATGGTTACATTTTGCTAAATTTAGTACCACAGCCGAGTGCTGCCACCATTTTGTGTCAACTAAACTGGGAAGCTACATGCTTTTTTTGTTGGTTTTTGTAGTCAATTTATTGAACATGTCAGAAACAAAGCATACAAAAATAATAATATATATATATTCTTTTTTTTTTCTTTCTCACTCATAACAATAATTATAACAAAGCGCAACAAAATAATAATAAAAAAAAAAAAAAAAAAAAAATCTCAAATACTCTGTAATGTTCAACAGGGGCAAGAAGAAGCTTAAAAATAACTTGTCTGGTCCTACCCCCTCTAGCATACATGTTCCTTATAAATAAAATATTAGGTCATCGTCATCAGTACGATGTAAACATATGATGGTGTATTCTGTTATCTTTTTATATTATATGTTAAAGCACTTACTGATGTTTATTTCATTTTGAAAGTAATAAGAGAAAGTAAGCAGTCCCAGATAATTACTGTGTTACTAGAATAGGGATTCTCTACTACAAGAAGCTTTCATGTTTTTTGTTCTTTGTAAATCGCTTAATTTTATGTATGCAAATGAAGAGATTCAAGTTATTGCTGAGGAAACACCACTGTCACTCTTTTGATTATTTCTCCCCATTGATCAGGAGACATCAACAAAGTCTTTGTCCTCCTAATTNTTTACTGGTTGTTACGGACTTGGACTCACCGTGTAGAAGTCATACCAGCGTGTGTTAGGAACATAGCCGTCCACATTAGTGACTCCCTGTCAAAGACAAAGTAAGCAAAACAAAGATATTCATAATATAAAGTGATATAAGCCAAAGAAAGAAATGTGTGTGTGTGTGTGTGTGTGTGTGTGTGTGTGTGTGTGTGTGTGTGTGTGTGTGTGTGTGCGTGTGTGTGTGTGTGATTACCTTATCAAGGGCAGGGGTGATAAGGAGGGCCGGACCCCAGAGGAATTGCTTGTGTATGTCCCATGTGTTTCTATCATTCGCAAACCTGTGACACACCAGTAACCATAGCATGAGAATGGACTAAAAAAACCACTGTTCAAGAAGTCATTCAGAATTCAATGGTTTGAAGATGTAAGCCACATATCCCTAACAGCTCCTTTATAAGAGTCTACAAATATGAATATGTTTTTATTTCTCATACAGTTCTACACATTCACATCTGGTAGCTGCGAGGTTAAGCTAGTGTCGTCTATGGTTGGCCTCTAAACAGGCCTTGATCAAGCATTTCTTACTGGCAGCTGCTGTAGGAGGGAATATATATACTTATAATTTGTCATCCCTTCACAAGAAAAAGTGAAAGTCACGAACCACCTTGTATAAACTCACTCATACTAAAGCCCATGTTGATAGTTTATAATAATTAAATGTGCTATTAAGCTAGCAAGTGTTGGCTATCTATCTGTCTATTTAAATCAAGCTAGCTAAGGTATCCTATCTGTCTAGTGGGCAGGCTTACCTTTAGCTACCCATTTTTACAAGCTATCCTGCTAGCTTTTTCAAAATCTGTGGCTCTCGTCAATTCAATTCAAATTGTTATTTAACACCCTATGGTATGACCTCGACATTTTTGGTGTTTTTGTTTAAACAGACCGGACACCCTCAAACAGCAAGCGGCCCCTTACAGCTCCAAACATCGCTGTAAATTCTCAAACATACGTTTTTTAGATAAAAAGTAATAACAAAGTGGCAAAGATTCTTTTATCGTAAGTTTCAAAACATAATATGGCAATGTGGAAGCGAACTTGAGCCGGAAGAGCATAAGATGAACAAGGGAGTCTTTGCTGGTAACAACTAGTAAAAAATGTGTTTTACATTAAAACAGTGGAGCTGAAAACGTGTTGGAGCACTGAAATGAAAGCTCTACTTAAATTGGTTTTTAGTCCAGTTGCCACCACATTTGATATTCTGCATACTAATGACAAGCTATGTAGTATAAAATCAGTTTATCTTGCGAGCAGATCAGGAGAAAAAAAGATCCATCGTGGTAATAGCCAAATGATCCGATTAAGTGATTACATGTAATGCTGGAGCCATGAAGTTAGCAGAAGAGATAAGGCCCGTGTGTGAGTCCATGCTTACTCGTGCAGGAGGGGTCTGACTACTGTGCTTCCTTTGGTGTGAGCCTCGAACATCAGTGTGTACAGGTAGGGCAGCAGGGTGTAGCGGATGTTCAGGACGTCCCGGGAAACCTGGGCGAAATTGTCATCCCAAGCAACAGGATCTTGTCTCTGAGAGAAAGAACATATATATAAAAGCGGTGGTTACAGATAGCCAAAACCAATAGTGTGAGAGCTACTTATGCTAACTAATATTAACATTTCAGAAGAAGATGTTCATGTTGACATGATGGATCACATATTATTTGGATGTCATATAAATGAATACCACCTTTTTTGTATAGTTTTGTGTAACTATATGTTATTTACAAGAAATTATTCAAAATGAATCTTAGGTTAGAGTAAATGAATACATCTTATTCGTTTTTTAACACTTATGCTTCTCTGTTTTGGCTTTTGAAAGTTAAAACTTAACTCAGAGTAGTAACCCTTTCACTTAACCTCAAAGGCTTGCCTGACCTCCCATGCCTAGCTACGGTTACCAAGTAATGATCACTGTTCAGGGAAAGGTGTTTAGGGAGCGGTTAATTGGTAGCGCCCACTTGTTGTGAAATCGTTTTTACATTGTTCTCTGTATCTTTCCCTTTAACAGATGATCCCCTTGACATATACAGTAGGCGGACATCCCGTTTATGTGGAATGAAAAAAGCTAAAAAGTCAAAATACCAGCACAACATCCACTGACTGAGATTGTTTACTTGTATCTAGAGACGAGTGCTGAGTGTTTGAGTCAACACATTCTCTGTTTCAACAGATGTACATCTCAAACGCTGCGTGTACGGTTCATTTCTCTCAGTTACAAGCACAGATACACTCACACATACAGCGCTCTGCAGGAGAAACCCAGCGGAGTATGAACGTATTCATTTTGCATTTGTCCGTGAAATAAATGTACATTTACACACAGCCTCGTTTTTCTCATCTTGACACTGTGTTTCAAGACCTGACTATTTCCTGTTAGGATTTCACAACATAAAGCACTTTAAAACTTTACTAGGTATGAAGAAGGACTGACGGGAACACTTGGGGGTTTGTATCAATCTAGAAATACTCCAACTACTGATAAACGTTGCACAAACTATTCTGCCCCGCAATGTTCTGATTTTCACTTCATTTTTAATTGGTAACGAGAGCAACGTCCCCTTAAGAGACAAGGACAGAACATAGGACACGGTGTACAATCATTGTGAAGATATGGGCCAATCTAAATGTGTGGTGAGATGTGCGCTGTATATGTTAACATATAATTCAATGTTATTATTATTGTCGAAGTAAAAAAGTACAATGATTACTTAGTAGCATACAATTAGACCTAAGTACAGTAGTTGAGTAAATATGAAGACACACACACACACACACACACACACACACACACACACACACACACACACACACACACACACACACACAGTATCATGAAGTGTGTCATCACCATATGCTTCTCCCTATGATTCAGTGTGTGTAGTGTGTACTGCATATGACTGTGTGTGTGTATGTCGGGCTTCTCTCCGAGTGTTATGAAGTGTGAATCAGTCTCCTTCCTTTCAATTTAAAGAAAATAATCAAGGCGTTATCATATTAAAAATCATCACAGAGGGCAAAAAATATGACAGACATTTTCTGCCCAGCTGCAATTTAGCTGGGTCGGATGTGAGAACGGTTACTGATTCGAGGTCTAACAGCACACTGTTGAATACAGAACATTTTCATTATCATATGACCTCTGGAGTTTACCAGATTATCATTTAATTTCTGAGGAAATGTAAAAGACCGTAATTATCTGGAATTATTTTACCTGCCTCTTTTTTTCGGTAACTCTTCTTTCACGCCTTACAATCAGATACAAGTAATTACCCTGGCAAGTGTGTGAGTGTGTGTGAGAGTTAGAGAACCAGCTGAATGTGGGCTGGCAGGTTTGGGTATTTTTTTCAAGCTAAAGACACTACTTTCTTTTTTCCTCAATTCCAATTATCTTTGTCAATGTGTGTCATGTGTTGCGAGTAGATGTGCAATGCCCTGTGGGAAGTAGGAAGGAAGGAATGGAGTGTAGCTTTTAATTAGCCTGGTGAGCTAGTAATCAGTACTGGAAGAGAAAAAGTCAAACTTGGTAATAGGAAGTTCTTAAAGTCCCAAAGTATTCAGAGAATGACTAACACTCTGACCGTAAATATGTAGGCTATATAAAACAATAAACTGTGTATGTTTGACCAATCACTAGTGCTGGGGGGAAACGATTATTTTGAAAACGATTAATCGGGCGATTATTTCATCGATTAGTCGACTAATCGAATGATTATTTTTCTGTTGTTCGATTTATAAAAAACATAATGTATCTCAAATAAATACCAAAAAACATTACTTCATTCATGACAACTGCGCACCAACTTACGTGCAGCCCTGGCCTGGACATTGCTTGGCTCCGTTAGTTGACATACATTGATACTATAAGCTGACTAACCTTAGTCTCATGTTATTTTTGACTCGTAAACGACCGCAACATGAGTTAGCTCTCTGTGCAGTTTGTTCGTTCCGGGTTAGTAGCGGCCAGCGCCATATAGATAGAAGAGTTACGACAGCGGAAGTCCAAAAACGGTTATCGTCACGTGGTTCATGTAGACGAGGATCGTTCCCCGGAAGTTCATGTCGGGCAATGTGAATGCATTGATAACAGGAGATAGAACTATGATTTTTGGTAATTATTAGTGAATAAAGGTTTTGATTTGCAATATTTATACAACAAATCGATATGTGTATGTATTTACATCAATATGTTTTTTTAAATAAAATAGAATTTGCTAATATTAAGTGATAATATTAGGATTAGTGTGAACAACTAGTTTACATGTTAGGCTAACAGTGCCTTGGTTAAAGAGCCTGTTGCTGTTTATAGCTTTGAATTCTTTAAAACCAATATTATCTTCTTAAACTTGTATGGTAGTCAGGAGCATCATTTTCTAATGTTTATTGATATATTTAGAGGGAGGGGATCTAAAGGAATGCTTCAAAATTCAGATTAGATTAATTTCTACCATTTTCTTAAATTCATGGTAGTTTCAGTAATCCCA